CCCCAAAACCCCAAAACCCCAAAACCCCAAAACCCCATATAAATGATTTGCTTACTCTAGATGGCATATAATATTTTACCGTTAATTTTAAAATGTAAGTAAATCACTTGAGAGTTACTCTGATGCTTTGCTCACTGGCACTACTTCTCTCACAATCCTTTTGCACTCTTGATTACCTAGACGACGATAACGATTTGAAAGTTGAAGAAATCTACAATAGTTTTATCAAATAATCACCTTTGAATCTATCTTTGGTGTAATTTGAAGAAGTTCTGCTTTCAGATCGTAAATTACTCAAACAGATAGAAGATGAAGCTTCTAAATTAGAAGCTAAATAGCAAAAGTTATATAACAAAAAGCTATACTCTCTTGAAAAACAAAGGCAAAAGGCTAACAAATACAGAATTAAATGGGAGTTGTTTGAAAACTAAGCTCAGATTTACTTAAATAAAACCACTTAATGCAATCTCACATGCACTTAGAATTGCTTGACTAACAACAAAGAACAAACTGTGTTCAGTGTGTTTTTGACATGTTTAGCTTCAGAGTGTGAGTGCATTAATTCATTCGCAATACAAAATGTTCCTGAACCTATTTACAATAAATCATAGCAAAACTATGGTCTTGGCTAATTAAAGAACCTTTCACAATAGGTTGAGTAAGGAAAACCTGCAGTTAAGTCTAGTGAGGAAGATTTAATTGGTTATGATATTGTTAGGGACTGTGATGAGGAATGCGATAAAGAATGTCTAGATATTAAGAAATATGTTCCTTTTGATGTGGTTGCTTAATGCTCTAGATAAAGATGCAATTGTTGGTATGATTATAATACACCAATTTAGACATAAATCTTTGAATAAAAAGATAAAAACTAGTCTGAGCAAATATCTAATGTTAACGTAGGCAGTTAGGAACTTATAAGTGAGCAATAAAATGCTACTTAAATATTATCAGAATCAGTAGAGTAAAACTTAAATTAAGATCATGCAATTCCATTGATTGTTGTTGATAAAGAAGCACCAGTAATCGAATCTAATCAATCAGAGGGAATTTAAAATTTCAATATTGAACAGTCAATCGCTATTGTTGAAGATCAGGTTATCTAAGAATAAGAATCAGTAGTATAAAATGAATTAAATAATGCAACTATTGAGATCAATTAAACCAGCGATTTAACTATTCCTATATTAGATGACTCGATAGCTACACAATAATAATCTAATGTTCTTGATTAATAAGAATAAGGCTCAAATGATTCTATATAGCAATAAGAAGTGCCTATCGAAATTTCATAGGTTGCAGATAATATTTAAGTAGAAGTAGAGGAATAAGTTAATTCAGATATTGAATTAACTCCTTCTGAAACAATAACTCCAGTATCAGTTTAAACTTAGCAAGCAGATGAATCATAAATTGTTGTTCCTGATGTTCAAATCGAGAATCAACAATAACCTAATGATTTACAGGCTCCATTAGCTGCAGTTAGTTTCCTTGCACTTGATGACGTAATGATTAAACGAAACAGTGAATTGATGCAATAGAAAGATAGATAGTTACTCAATGCTACTCTAGGGGTAGCTGCCTTATTCATGTTTGCTATAATTCTCTATCAATTTTCATAAAGACAACAAGACAAACAAAGAAAGAAGGAGAAGAGGCAAAGTCAAATGTCTTATAAGGGAATTAATGTGGATGAAAACAACTACTTTTACTTCAAGGGTGAGTCAGATGCACCCTATCAAAAACTTGAATGATCTTCTGTTAATTATAATTCTAAACTCTAACAATCCTTTCTTATAAATCTAATCTTATCATACGGGGTTTTGGGGTTTTGGGGTTTTGGGGTTTTGGGG